CTAACTCTACTGGAGCAGAGTGTCCTGTCCAGTATATCATCCTGCCTCCTTCCTGGTACTTCTCTGTAAACACCCTTTACGTGTGTGTTTATACAGTCCATATGCTCCCAGCAGTTCTATGATCCCTTCACTTGTTCCACCCACTGGACTAGTTGTAACAGGCACTAAATTATGGGGGGGTTGTTGTTTGCTTAGTTTATACACCTGCAATTTCCTGGTTTATATGTCCAGAGGTTTTAGTCTTTAATTTAATATTATTCATAGATTTTATTGAGTATTAGTTAACTTTTAAAAACAATTTAATGGGCAGTGTATTTTTAATTACATATGGCAAAACCTATAGAAACAAAGGAAAATTGACCTAATTTGTTATAGCTGGTTTGCAAAGATTCCCTGAGGTGACTGAGCATCACTCTTCCTTTTTATTGTACTTCACACATTTCCCAACTCACGTCAATTCAGTTCTCATTTAGTCTCTCTCTCGGAAGCAGCCTCTGCACACAGAGTGGCTGCCCCTTCTCTCCCTCCAGCACTGAGCCTAAACCCAACATCCTGTCAGTTATTTTAGGCGGGGGAAGAAGACTGACAAAGTCTTGTGGGTTGTTTTTTTCCTGCTGCTACTTGAAATGTGCAAAATGCTGATGACATCTCTCGTGGAAATGACCAAGGAGCATTTTTCTACAGCTAAACGATGGCTGAATGACTCTGTACTGGTTAGAATGTCTCCTTTATGCAGCAAAAGCTGCCACAAGCTCTGAGATAATCCCTGCCCTTGTCGAGGTGCCCATCCCACGCTGTCTGGTGATGTGTGAGGTGCAGCTCTGGGCTGTATCGCTGGAATATGTTTGAGTATCAGCTACACCATATCCAGGCTGCAGCATTAATTAAACAGCATGGCCCTGCTCCAGGCCCCAGTGGACAGGCATCCACATGGCAACTGTGAGCCTTGTCGGCAGCAAGAGATTAAGGAATTAATTGGCAGGGTTAATCTTCGTGTCAGGGTTGGAAATGAATTGTTAATTTGTTTGGAAGAGTGTAAAGTCCTCTCCCAGCGATGGCAGGTGGGAATAACACGAGGAAAAGTCTGCGAAGTTGCCCTTCCTGGGGACCTTTCTATTTAACACCTCCTGCAAACAGACATCTCCAATTCTTTGCCCCTGAAGTGTGAGACTCCTGTGCGGGGTTGGAGGAGCTGGTTGTGTCACTCACATCCCTGCAGGTGACAGCACAGCTGCTCCAGGCTGTGAGGTGGGAGGAGGTCTGGCTGCAGCCTGGGAGGCCCCCTTCAGATTCCAGCATTTCTGAGTGTTGCATGGCAGGTACTGGATCAGGCCAACCTGCTCCAGGATCTCAGGGTGAGGGAGAGATGTGCTGACTCTGAAATGCCACTGTTGGGGCGAGTGGTACCAGCCTTGCACACAGTGTGCAAAACTTGATAGGTCTGTATGGACGTTAAATCCTCTCAGACACTTCTCTCCTCCTCCAGGACACTGTAGTAGGTGAATCTGTCAGATCAGTTAATGCCTTTCCCTTTCTGCTCCCATTTTACACTCAAGACAGCAGAATATTTTATTTTTTAGCATCTTTCTAATTTTTTAAGGCTAATGCATTGGTCGCATCACATTAAGACATAGGAGAAAAGCACTTTAAGCCTTAAATTATTTAAATGAAATTGTAACTTTTGTCCCTTGTGCTCTCTTTTTGAACCTAATTACTTCAGCAATAAGAATCGCTTTCTCCTCATGCTGTGGCCTGACATGTTGTGACCAATGCAACCTGATTCTAGACGTGACATCAAATAGGACTGGCCTATACAGAAACCTGGGATCTTCCTGGGTGTGCAACAATCCTGTTTAATACCTTGCAGTCAGAATCCTACCCTTTTGTGGGGAGGCTGATGCTGTTCCAAGGTGCTGTAAAATAATGAGAGTTTTTCACTGCCAGAAATATTTGGCTGGGTTTAGCCTACATATCTACACTGTGTGTCACCACGTCTGACAGCGAGTCCTGACAGCACAAGAGTTGGGTTGTTTTTGGTGCTCAGGTTAATTCCCCCCTCAAGGAGCGCTCACTGCTGTGTCTGTGTGCTCTGTTCCATACCTACCTCCTTTCTCTACAATTCTCTCTATACAATTACCTGAAAGGAGGTGGCAGCCAGGTGGGGGGAGGTCTGTCTCTCTCCCAGGTGACAAGCGACAGGACAAGAGGAAACGGCCTCAAGTTGTGCCAGGGGAGTTTTAGATTGGATTTGAGGGAAAATTTCTTCACTGAAAAGGTGGTCAAGCACTGGAAGAAGCTGCCCAGGGCAGTGGTGGACTCACCACCCCTGAAGGCATTTAAAAGGCATGTTTATGCTTAAATATGATTTAGTGTTGTCCTTGGCGGTGCTGGATTAATGGTTGGACTTGATGATCTCAGAAGTCTTTTCTAACCCTAATGATTCTATGATTTCCCCATTCAGCTTTCATCCCTCACTGGATGATTGCCTACCATTTCTACCTCTGTTCTCCTAAAATTTAACAAGACTAGAAATGTCTTTATGCAGCTCTCCCCATCTGTGTGAGCCTTCAGAGACTTCCATCTGAGCCTTGCACAATAAGCAAGTTATCAAATTACTGATAAGCAAAGTATCAATGAGCAGTTTTGCTGGAGAGGGGAGAGCATGGCAAGGGTATCCACAGAGTTCTGGGACACTGAGTAGAGCCAGAAGCAAAGCAGGGCTGGTGTAATGTTTGGATGATGCTGTTTGTTAGGGTGCCACAGTTGCTGAGTGCCAAGTAAAAATATGCCTGACATGATACTTAGGTTTCCCCTAATCTGGCCACAGTCACTTGTTATTCGAGACCACAAATAGTGATAAGAAACTTTGCCATCATTTTGACAGATGTCTCATACATTTTTATAAAAATATTTTGGGCTGCTCTGCACTCTTTGGGTTATCTGAGACAACCTACTTGTAGGTGTCTGTCAAGCACCAGCACTGGCTCCTCCTTTCACCTTGTCTTTCATTTTCTCCTCACCCTACAGGCAGCCAGGTGGCTGAACACAAGCCAGAACTGAGGATTTTCTCTTTTCCTTTCAAGGGATGGGTGTTTGGAGATTTATCAGTAGTACAGTTGTACTTAATCAGATAGAATCTGTCCTGTGTAACTAAGAAGGCCCACAGCATGTTGCTGGCATAAGCAGCTATTCTACTAAAATTCCACTTGAGTTGCCACTTTACATTCCACATCTTTTATGTTTTTTTAAATTAAAATTATTAGTCACTTGTGCTAAAATGTCCACATTCTACTAGAGCTTTTCTATACTGTCATTTCCTATTAATTGCTTAGAAATTATGACCACAAGACTGTGATCTTTGGAAAGAAGACTCTCACCCTGTCTATGCCATATATAAAATTTTAATACCAAAAGTGGACTGGGTTCATCATAGAACTAATTAGTTCTTTGGAGAATCTACTTTGTGCAGCAGCCTGCACTGTCCATATTGATGTGAACATATTATATAATCAGCTTTAGAGAATGCAGCAGTCTGAAGGCTGGGTTCTGTGTCCCTGTACTCAGTCACTACCCTGAGGAGGGCACTGAAAATCAGCAGAATTTGACTAAAAAATAGGCATTTCTGCTGTGGGGTTTTTTTAGGGAGTTGTAGAACAATTGGTTATCTTCAAATCAACATTGTTTGCAAACTGTGCTCTCCAAACATGTTTTTATTGATATATATATATAGCAAGAGATTTTACAAAAGGATTTAAGATGTTCCCTTTTGCTGTCCAAACTGGGTGGTGAAGTCATGGAACATGCTATTTTAATAATTTGGAACATGCCCCAGGAGTTGATTAAATGATCTCTCTTAGTCTGTACGTAAACTGCATGTTTCCATGCAAACATCAAAGGAGTCAGAGCTGCAAACACAAGCCTGCAGGATCTGCTCTATCCCTGCATGGCTTTTTACTATCTGTTTAAACACTAAACATATTTTAATAGACAATTACAGCTTGTCAGCAGAGATACACCTCTATAAAACTGAACAGTGGGGGAAGTGGAATTGCTGCTGTGACCTTAGTGATAAGATATTTAAGTATCATTTAGTGAGAGAGATTTTAGAAATCTAAGACCAGAATCTGAGGTTTTGCATCTTCCTTTTGATGAGTCATGACCCCTCTGTGCTTGAACAGGCCATCAAGGTACAAGGAAGAAATTTCCTCCCTGTGAAGGTGGGGAGGCCCTGGCACAGGTTGCCTGGAGAAACTGAAGATGCCCCATCCCTGGAAGCATCCAAGGCCAGGTTGGACGGGGCTTGGAACAACCTGGTCTAGTGAAAGGTGTCCCTGCCTATGGCAGGGGGTGAAACTGGATAAGGTCCATCCCAACCCAAACCACTCTGATTCTTTGATCCTGAACAGGAGCTTTGCCTCGATTTTCCAAGGAGAAGTTTGTGGTCTTCCCTCAAAAGCGGAAACAGGAAGAAGAAATCAACTGTTGTTTGGGAGGCAGGACCCTGATAGAGATTCATCATCTCACCCCTGGCTCAGGTGAGTGATGTGGTACATTTTGTCACCTCTTTCCCCAGGGTTCTCTGCTTTAGTCATTCTGTGCTATGGTTATAAGGTTGTTCTGATGTATTTAGATCTACAAACTACACAATAATCTTGACTAAAGGAAACACAAAAGAATATCCTCTAAAATTAATACATGAGAGAAATATCAACTAGGACACATATCCTTCAATCCTTATGGGGTTATTATATTATATATTATTACATAATAATATAGGTGGGAGCAGGCCCTGTTTGATCAATTTGTTTGGTTATTACCCATAACCAATTCTTGGTTATAGATAGTTGAGGGAACTAAAACAGTGACAGATGAAGGCAAAATTCCCAGATGAGAAAAGAAATAGAGACCTGTATGTGTTCAGAAGTGGCAGAGTACAGGTATTTCTTGACATTGCAGCCCTTTATCTTAGACACACCAAACCAGAGATGAACAGCACAATGTAGGTTTGACACTTTTATTAACAAAGAACCCATGGGGCTCATTCATTAGTACAAAATACAATCATGTTCCTGTATGTTAAACAGCTTTTTTTTTTTTATTTTGTCTCTTTTAAACTGTTTCACAGTTATCAAAACAAAGCCCCTGCATATTGAACTTATTATTGTGCAAACAGTAATTATTTTTAAGGATCAATTTCTGCACTAAGCCAAGTGCCAGAGAGCAGAATTTAATCTTGTTTTCACCCCTCCTTTGAAGGGCCATGTGTGCTTCCTAAGAAACACATAATAGTTGACTTTTTTTTTTGCAGCAAACAATCTAAGGCCACAGTTTATCTGCAAAGAATAAAAAAACAACTCAAAGATTTTAAAGGAAAAAAAAAAGCATATCTTTACCCTTCATTCTCTTGTTTGCTTGACCATGATTATACCAGGTAGCACACATCACCTATCAGGTATTACAGTCCAAAAAAGCACCTGATGTTCTTTAAGCTAATTTTTTGAATTATTAACATGCAAGTTAATACACAGCAACATTACTTTTCAAGTAACTATAATGGTGTCTGTTTAAGGAAAAGATGCTTATTCCCTTTCCAGGTGATGTGAATGAAAATCCTGCATTGATTGTATGGGCAGGCCCTCACTTAAAAAGGCATGAGAGCTACATCTTGAGACTTAAATACTTGTTTTTAGAATGTCCTTTCTAAAACATGCACTCAAATTTTGGTTAAAGCTGCATTTGCTATAGAAGACAATACTTAATGTTGCAAATGAAAAAAAAATAACTGCAGTTTGGAAACATGGATCTCCATCAGTCTGTCTTTCACACTGATGCAAAAGTGATTTTGAGGTGAAGTGCTAGAAATTAGACAATGTAAGGAAGTCATACTTGAGAGAAGACTAAAAATATATACGTGTGTATGCCTGTAGAAAAATCCCTGCTTCTTATATGAAGACAGATTTCATAAAAAACCATTTAAACTTTCTTTAAACTGCAGTTACTGATGAAATGAAGGAAACTCAATTACTGTTTTTGTAGTTATCAGAAAGTACAATGTTTTACCACATGAAGCACCGGGTTTTAACCCCAAACCCTTCTGTAAGACATATGGAGTAGTTCTAATAGTCCAAAATCCCCTGTACTTTAAAGACAGGACTGTAAACGTGCGTGCTGACAATGCTGTGTTTCTGCTCCTGTGATTTGTTGGTGGTGGTTTATTTATCCCAATTGATGCTTGGCAGGAAGCAAACATTCTACTTTAAAGGAAGGCAGCAGAAGGGCACGTAAATGCTGTGCCTTCACTCTTAGCAGCAACAAACTCTCACTGTTCTAAATGACCTGAGGAAGAAAACATTAAAATATTGCACCAAAACAAAATTAAACAGCAAAAACAAACAAGGAAACACACCAACATATATAGTATGGATAGCAAATGACCAGTGCAGCCCCTGACAATAGATCTTTAGACAAAAATGCAGGAGTAATGAAAAGCTTTGTGCCATTACCAGAGGACTTTGTTCCCCTGATATCTGCTTTCACTTCAGTTATAAGCTATGTCTATTCTGGGTATATTTACACCTCTCCCTACGCCTCTTATCTCATTCACTAACCACAGAAACCATTTAGGGTCCCTTTTAGAACCTTGAAGTATACTGGAGCTTTAACAAGACTTTTTTTGGTCTCAAATCTGACCGTAAGTAAATATCCAAAACAGAGGTAGGCTTATAAAGGCTTTTGAATAAATAAGTATTGTCCATTTTGCTAAGTATACCTGCTGTTGGCAGAAGGATTCTCCCTTGCCATGCTTCCCCTTATCATGCTATCCATAGGCTTAAGATGCAAAAGAAGAACTCACAGTAGAAGAGGCTAGAATAATTCCCTTAAGAAATCCCTTGAAAGAAAGCATAGTGCATAAGCTTGTATCAAAGTCCACTCTTCTCTTCCATACTTGTGTCTCTCACTCAGTAAATGGTTGCCTTCATAGTATTGCGTAATAGCTACTCTGTCATCCGTGATGCCTTCAGGATCGTTACGAGTGATGAAATAGTACCACTTGGCAGTCGTGAGAAGGGCAGGTTCTCATGAAATACGAAGTTAAGCTGGAGTTAAGACTTCACCTTCTAATAGTGTTCCTTTCCTGGATGCAGACAGTGCAAAGCTGAAGCCCCTTGAACACTGGAATCTTTTGGAAATGTTTTCTTACCCCACATTCTGTTCTACTACGCAAGTTCTACTACAAGAGTTCTCAACATCATTATGTACAATCTTCCAGAGTGTTCCAAACAAAATATAAATTCTTTTCTCTTCAGAAGATCCATACATCTCCTCCTCGTACTTTGTGTAGTGTGTCCACTTTTGGGAAAACATTCAGTATTTCATTCATTCATTTTCATTTCAGCATTTTCAGGTACTTCTCAAGTATCCCAAGCTTGGCTGCTCCCACATTATTCCTCTGTGCAGACTAATCCAGCAGATTCTCTTTCATCACCAAACGTGCTCATACCTCCTCCTCCATTTTCCTTTGCCTTTCTCGTACACAAACTGAAGTTTTGAAAAAGAAAACTGTTTCCTTTTTAGCTGCACTACCAGCTTAAGCAGCAGAAAGATTAAGACATTCATCACAATGATGCTTGTTACAAATCCTCTTCAGAGCCTGAACGAAACGGGCTGAATTTCTTCTACATCAGTTGGATGTGGATCAATCTAGGGAGAGAAGAAAGGCAACAATTACTGCCTGCAATTCCTGCATTTAAGTATGTGTTTTGGTTTGTTGTTCTTTTTTGCCATCTGACAATAAAAACACCACCTGCTATTTATTTTTTTACCTCTGAATAAAGAGGTGGAGGCTGGAACCGGAACTCTTGTATATAAGCAAAGACAGGACAACACAACTGTTCCTCGCAGTCAATGGGTGGTGGATAAGCAGGAACATGTCTGGAAAACTCTTCCTCAGACACTACATCAGCATAATTTGGTGGTGCTGAAACACAAGAGATGCTACTGTCAAATTTCAAACTATTCACTCACAGCAAGACAACATCTGTAGTACAGTATATCCAAACCCATGAAAACTGTATTTATAAAACATTGTACAACTGTCAGTTTGTATGAAGTGCATTAAACCCATACATATTGTAACTAAAATTATGTGTTCAGTAAGATTAGGTGATTCAGCAGGAACACAGATGCTTTTAGGGCAACTCCAGCAACAAGCCTGTGCTGTATCAAGATATATTCAGTAATGAATAAATTAATTTAGTTATTATTAGATAATAACTTAAATAAATTTAGTTATTATTAGATAAACTTAAGGAAGGCTGGAGTTAGGGTAACCTCACCCAATCCTTTTGGACCTGAGACCTTCTCCTGAGTCATACTTCCATTGCCTACATCCCTACAGTGCCCATAAATTGGCATTACACCCATCTGCTGCAGACAGTGCTGTGCTGGATAAAAAGAGTTCAATATGTGTTACCTTCAGGGTGTTCAGGCATGGTCAATGCCAGCCAACTCATATCCATACTAAACTGGCTGGTAATGCTGGAGTTTCTGCTTGAAAATCCAATACATGGAATAGTGCCAATCACCAGAGGCATTTCAATCATCAATTTCTTAGCACCAGGAATATGGATATACACCTATGTGACAAGCCCCAAACAAAAGAAAAAAACATCATGAGACCCCACTGAATGCTCCTAAAGGCTACCCTATTCCCTACACTGCAAATTGTTTAAAAATTAAGAGCTTTCTGATTCCAGCTATGTTCAGCTAATACCCTGGCAGCGTTCCTTTCCTTCTTTCTGTAACTTGTCTCTAGGTGACATTTAAAAACATCTTGACAAATGTAATTATGCACTTGATTTTCAGTCTTCCCACTTCTGAAAAGAATCACCAGAGGAACCCATTCAGCTTGATCTACTTTGCCATAAAAACCTCTGCTGGTCTCAAACTAAGCTGCTTCTTCCTTAGAAATATATTTCCATTTTCCCCTGTTATTCCCATCTTTCTATCTCAGAATCTCTTCATGATCTTCAGTGTCTCATCTATATATATGTGATTTATGATATTTATTTATCATAGAATGGTTTGGGTTGGAAGGGACCTTAAAGATGTAGTTCCAACCCCCCTGCCATGAGTAGGGACACCTTTCCCTAGATTTATATTTGTCATTCCCAAATTAAAAACCTAACAGCTACTCGGTAAATTCTTCTGTTCCCAACTCAATCCAAAGTTTGTACATTTGAATAACCAATACTTACAGCTAATGAATATTCTACTCTAATAATGCAGCAGTCAAGTATAGAGGGGGATACAGGTGGGATTTTCAGAGTTTTCCCATTCCAGGTATCTGTACTCCCAGAGGCAATGTGGTTTCCTCGGACATTGGCAACCATCTGACGGAAGGTTTTTGTCTTCCCACTGGCCAGGTAAGTTTGTGTTTGGAAAATGGCAGCTTTTGGAACAATCAAACGAGAAGAGCAGTTCTCAATTTCTGCATAGATTGGTATGGCTTCCCCTTAGAGACAGAAAAAGTCCAATGAATAATTTGTATTTCCCAACTTTCCTCTGGGAGTATCAAAGCATGTTACACAGCACGTACATCATCTGCAGTGTTATGAGAACAATACTTGTGAAGTTTCCTCAAGCTAGTTTATTTTTTTCAGAGTGGTATCCAGGCAGAATTATGGCCACCTACTACATTTTATATACAAACAATGATTCATTTTGAAACATTAAGCATAATATGAACAAGCTATAAAAGCTTTATTTGCAAATTATGCCCCAATCTTCCTTTTATAGAGTACTAAATGAATTTCAGGATGTTTTATTTTATTTCCTCAATGTCTCTAATGTTATCAAGATGACAAGCTGCTAAAGCTCATTCTTACAAAAGTGTAAAGCTACACAAACGACATAAAAACCTAATTACATCCCCAATTAAGTATTTTACCCCAAATAAAAGCATTTTGTTGTTCTTTACACTCAAATATACAAGGTTTTTTTGTAAGATTAACAGGACTTCCTTTTAATTTATATTTCCCAAGGGGAAAGGCAAGATGATATTTGTTAAACCAAGTTCATATAGATCTTAACTTACTCCTACTAAACAGAATTATTCTTTGAACTATAAAGTGTTGGCTTCACAGAGATAAAAAAAACCCAACTACTAGGTGTTTAATATTTACATTTTTAAGATAACTACTCTTACCATTACAGTATCCCTTCCTCTCAATTTTGGCACTGAGAGACACTGGCCCAGAGGTGAAAAACCAACAGCCAACCATCTTCTCCTGACTTCTTAGAACAGGTGTCTATAAAATACAGAGTATTTTTCATTTTATGGGAGAAAGCTCTGAACAGCACCCAGTCAATATAATAATGAAAATTGTTTTTATATTTATTATAATGAAAAAAATCTGCTTGCAGTTTTGGTGATAGCCTTGGAATCCCCTGACTGGCATTATCTACTTTATATGCCTCACAGCCCTCTCCTGTGCCATTACCTATGGGCTGCTCTGTCCTTACAGAATCTGGATATAATGCTTTCAAACTCCTAATAGACAGTGTTGAATATAAAGACTATTCTGCTTAAAGATGTCACTGCCAAAATACTCTGAAGTTCTCTCTAAAAGAGATTAAAATGTAAGCACATAAAGAGGAAAAACACCCTACTCAAAACATCTCTTAGCTATGTTCACGTCATGATGTTAAAATGATCCTATAATTTTAAATAAAATAGAAATTACTCATTCATATTTAAATGAATAACCATTTAGATCCAGTTGCTATCATGAAAGTGCAAGGTATAATTTTATATTATTTTCATAATATGGGCTGAGATAAAAGAATCCAGCTCATTAGCTTCCATCTTGCCTATTTTCTCATTACTTAATGCCTGATCTTTCTTATTACTCTACAGTATTTCCAGTCATTAGAAAAAAACTCAATGCTTTAATGTGGCCAAATCTGTCATAGGGAAATAACTGACAGGATCTCTGGAGCAGCTGTGTGCACACACTTCATGTTGGAAAACGACATGCAAAATGGAGGGATATGTAACATAATGGCCAGAGCATAAATGACAGGCTGGGCATGATTAATACTCTTCTCTAATTACTGTTCCTCAACCTACTATTATTGTAGAGTTTAGGACACTGCAGTCCTGTGAATGTAGTTGCTCTGGTAAGAGTAAACTACTCTACACTCGTGCATTATTATTATTAAGCCTTATTTATGCATCTGAAGCCTGCCTAACTTTTTGGCAAGAGCATCTCTGCCAGCAGGGATGTAATCAATGGTATTAAAAAAGCCACTGTTTGCTATTCACACAACCTAAGATCATCTATTTATAGAGAAAAGCTTAGGGAGCTTATATGCTTTCAGAAGTCAGAAAATGACACTCCAGAATAACATGGAAATGGCTATGGATGTGAATGCTGCCTGGAAATGTTTTATTTTTTTGCAGCTGGCTTTGAAGGGGGAGGAGGAGCGGAGGAAGGACCCTCTTACCAAGAGGGCTGGTGAGCTGACGTCGATATGGCTGATGACCTGGAGCTCTGTCTGCACACTCTGATCAGGAGCTGCAGGCCTCTCCAGGATGGCTTTCACATAGTACTGAATACTGCCATACTTCCCAGTAAAAGAGGTCACCAGAGGTCTGAAACAAGCAGTCACAAAACCATTACCCTTAATTAATAATTCAGTTCCAAACGTGAGCGCTTCCCGTGTACATGAACATTTAACCAATTTACAGCTCGTACTTTTAGGGCCTGGGGGAAACTGAAGCCAACAAGGCCTGTCTGTGGGGCCTGATTAAGAGAAACATATAAAGCTGATACTAAAAAAAACACAAGTCAAATTACATTAAGATAATGTTGCAGTACAAGCAGCGTCCAGCACAATCCCTTCAGGTTGGATTATTTAACTTACTCTTGAGGGAGCTGAAAGCTGAACGGAAATTCGTGTCTTCCATCTAGAAGAATTAAGTTTTCCTCACCTGTAGGATGAAAATGAATAGTATGTTTTAGTTATTCCAGAAATAGAACAAAGCAGATGCTTTTCTAAGTTATTTATGTATAAGAACACCCAGATACAAGAAGTTTTTATTGATCCCAGTGGGTTCTGGACTGCAGCCCGTGCTTTATTTGTGCTGTGATGTGATTTCAATGAAAAACAAAAATCAAGGAAGCATGGGAGACCTTGAGATTCAGTTCAGGACTCTGGCCAATTTCGAATCCAAAATGGCTTCTGCAGAGCACAAAGTAAGTTTCTTTTCCTTTTCAGCAAGACAGCAATTAATCTGCTTTTCCAATTAACAATTAAACCAACTTCTGTGCTAAAAAAGCTGCAATTTAAGGTCAGTATGATGAAATACTATTAATACATGAGCTCCCAATATACATTCATAGAGGGCCTGCTGTTACACAATTCTGAAGGCCTAAATTTACTTTCCCTGCAGCTCAGCCTGAGAGCTGCGTTTCACCCTCACAGAACAAAATGTCGCTGCTCTGTTTTTTAAATTTCCGACACTGCCATAGGTGCTGCAGTGCCTGAGTGACAGAGCTCTGCCACAGCGAGCTGCCTCTGCTTCCTCGAGCTATTGGAGGAGCCCGACTGCTCCCAGGGTCTTCCACGGGGGTTTCCCAGCTGCTGCTTACAGAGCACAACCCACACGGCTGACGGAATTCACAGGCGGGCTGAGCCTCTGCAGGGAACGCAACTGCGGATTTTCTTACAGCCCCATTCCGCGTTTTTCAGCCACCGCACAAAAAAAAGTCAGTGGGCGGCCACTGGTGAGGCTGTGGCAGCTTCCCCGGGTGAGGGCTCTGACGGCGGGGCGGCGATGTCCTACGGGGCCTGAGCACCCGCTGCCCACTGCCAAGGGTCCCGGCGCCCACTTCTCCCCCTCCCCTCGCTGCCCACAGCGTCCCTGGGCGCCTTCTCCGCTCCCTCAGCGCCACTCCCCCGCTCCCACCCCCGCCGGTCCCGCCTCACCTTCGGGCGGGTCCCTCAGGAGGCTCTGTCGGATGTCCAGGTACCGCACCTCCGCCTCCCTCCGCGGGCCGGGCCCCGGCGGCCGCACCGCCACCCCCCAGGCTCCCGCGCCGGGCCCCGCGCCGGGGCTCTCGCTCCAAGCGACGCGCGCCCGCCCCGCGGCCTCCAGGCGCAGCCCGCGCAGCGGCAGCGGCCCCGCCAGCTCCAGCAGCACCTGCCCGGACACCGTGTCCCCGCTGCAGTAGCCGCTGCCGCCGCCACCGGCGCGCCGGGCCTCGTCCTCCAGCACCAGGGCCAGCGTCTTCACCGCGCCGCCGGCCCCGGGGCCCGGCCCGGCCGCCGCCATCGCTCCCCGGCCGCGGGGGAACCGCGCCCGCCCTCGCCCGGCGCTTTAAACCCGCCCGTGTCCGCCAGCGCCCGCGGCGCCGCGCCCCGCCCGCGCCCCGCCCTCGCTTCGCCCCCGCCCGCTGCCCATTGGCCGCGCCGCGGCCCCGCGCGCCTCCATTCGCCGCGCACCGCCCCTGCGCCCCCTCCTCATTGGCCGCCCGGCCCGCGCACGCCCGCGGTGGCGTCACGCTGCGTGATCGCCGCACCGGGGCCAATGGGGCGAGGGCAGGCGCGCGTGGACAGCGCGGCGATTGGCGGCGCGGCGGCAGGTCCCCGCAGCGGCGGCCAATGGCGAGGCGCGGCCACCACGTGCACAGCCTGTGGGTAAACAGGCAGGGGAGGGGCGGGGCCGGATGAGGGGGCGGGGTCAGGGCGGGGTCTCTCAGCCTTTGCCCCCCCCCAGCCGTCAACCGCCCTCAGCCTTTTGCCCCCTCTGCCTTCAAGCGTCATGAGGGGTCCTCGGGGACCGGCGTTCGGGGTTCTTGTCCCTCGCTGTTCCACCGCCTGTGGTCACTGCCCTCCAGCCCCGCGTTGTGGGGAAGCCGTGTGCCCTCGGTGACCCCGGGCTGCGGGGAGACCTTGGTCCCTAGTGGCCTTCGGGCGCTGTCGTGGCTGTTGGGGTGTGCTGGGTCGGTCTCAGCCTCTCCCCGCCGACAGCCGGGCTGGGACTGTTAACTGTGGAAAAGTGTTGCAGTGTCGCTGTTCTCCCCCTGGTGTGCCAGGGGGTTCCCTCGGGAACTTGGTGCTGTCTGTGTGAGCCCTTTCCCACCCCACTGAGGAGCAGGAGGTGAAGGTTTATCTGTAAATAAGCCATTCTGGACAGTCTGGAAACCTCATTGCCCACACAAGTACTGTCTATTTCTGCACTTTGTAAACCAAGAAACGCCCTGGTTCAAGAGCTTGTTCTTACAACCCCCGTTGTAACTGGGAAGCTAAATGGCTGTGTGCTGTCACACCCGGCCAGCGACACCTTCCCAAACACAAAGGTTTATCCACAAGAATAAACAGAGAATTTGCTGCTAGTTCCAGTTTCTAGAAGCGCTAGCCTAGGAACCCCCCAGCATCTATAGGAAGAGTGGTGAATGTGTCAGTGTTGATGGGTGAGCGTGGCCAGACCCACCATCCCGACAGCGGCGAGGCTCCGACAGCTCCGTGGCCCCGTCCAACCAACCCGAGGCATTCTACAAAACAAAATGCTTTGCATCGACTGGACAAATACCACAATTAATGCTGTTCTCGGCAGTGTCATGTTTTATGATGGCCTGAGATGACAGCAGTGCATCTTCCTGAAGGTGTGTGCAGTGAATGATCCACCAGCATTTCCACGGGTGACCAAGGAGTCACTTCCCGGTCGGAGTCACCTGCCTGCTCGAAGCTCCTCACAGCTGCATTCCTCCGGCCCTCTGGGGCGTTGCAAAACACCAGCCTGGTGCTTCCCAGCTGACTCAGTTAATTACTGAAATTAGCTGAAATTGTCTTCCAGACTCAGAGCCTTGGCTTTTAAATAACTGATGGGATAACTCCCAGGCTTCCTCAGAATCCCTGGCATACCTGTGTGTCCCGTGAAACGTAGCCTCATATTTAGAGTTACTTCTGCAATGAAGCATCTGTCCTTGCCGACAGCCAGGTAGGCCTTTGGAACACTTTCTGTTGGCTAAAAGTTTGTAAACACCTCAGTGGTAATCAATAATAACCTGGGAAAAAGGAATGTGGTTACAGGTGGGGTGAAGTCATGGGCTTTATTTTGACCTTTGGCCACGGATTCCCCAACTCATGAGGAAGAATTATGTAACTAAAGAAAATAATGCTGTGATGGTTGTCTGAGTAGTTAAAGAATTCTGGGATATTCATATCTCTTTGTACTTTTGAAATTATTTTTTTAATCGAAACTGCAAATACTGCATTGTAGTTGGGAATTGTGGTGTATAAAATCATGCTACACTGGTGGTTTTTAGTTCAATTAAACTAATACATGAGTAATTTTGCATAAATCTTTTCCTTATGTCCAGTTTTTCACATTAGCAAGTATAAGGTTAGTTTTGTAGCCAGCCAAGAGACCATGCTTGGATGTCCAGACTGAATATTTGCTTATTTGCAGAATTTCCTTAAGTACAATGTGTGTGTGCAGTCTGATTTTGAGAGTGTGATACAGAGGAAAAAAAAAAATCAAAATCCCACACCTCCCTTTTTCCTGCATGAATTAGAGCTTGTGTAAAAGTAATTAATTCTCTTAGGGGTTTATGTGACCATTCAAACGTTGCCTCCCATTTATTCTTTTTAAGTGCAAATGAGGTAGATAGGGAAATGAATAAACATGGACAATTGCTTGTGGAACAAAACATTACACAGAATTAGTGAGAGTTAGGAGGCTTCAATAACTTGAACAATTAGCCTGTAGAGGACACAGTTAATAGGAACATTCTGTCACAGTCAGGTGATACTTATCCCTGATGTTTGTTTGCCCTTTAATACATTTTTTTTCATCAGCATGCAAAGACCAGAATTTGTTGAAATTATCATGGGGTGATTGGTTTTCTCATCTATCCATCTTGAGGACACTTTGTGGTGTTTGAGACATTTTAACTGACCCACCCAGTGACGTAAAATCAATGGTGGAATCCACCACATGACTATTTTAGTCTCTGATGAGCCAGGAGGAAGGAAGAGGAGATGAACACTCAGACAAGTTGTGGGTGTTTGTGTGTGACTGGTTATCTGAATGCAGGAATAGGTGTGGAAAAAACAGGAGATATATTGACATGCTTGATTATATTTTCATTTCACTTATTTTGCCACTTTATTCAGGACTGTGTAAGAAAGAGCTGTCTGAACAAATTAGTTAATGCACAAATTAGTGTGTAAGAGTAAAGAATACACAAAGAAGGGTCTCATTGGAGAGTATCCACAAAGCTGTGAACAGCTCCAGAATCACAGACTCATCTTGAAGGCAAAGGAAGTGGGAGAACATCTTCCTACAGCAGCTGGTAGTATCCTGGCTCTGCTGGTTAATTTGGAAATGACTGCTGTGGTCAGGTCACTGAATTTAGATAGATCTCACAATGTAAGTTTCTACAGGCAGTAACTAACTATTTTAAAACTAATTTCTGTGGACATAGTGATAGAACAGGCTATCAGGGCTTTAGCCTACCAGCAGAGTTTTGGAAATATGGAATAAAGTCCAAGTTTCCACAATGGGAAGGACACATGATATGTAAATAACTTTTTTTTTTTTGTGGAAGACACAGGATAAGAAATGCTTCTTAGGAAGCATCAACTTCTGCTTCCAGGAAGGTTTTTGTTTTTCAGGAATCCAAGCAGTAACTGGGAGGGATGTGAAAAACTTGATGAGTATTTGCTGTCCTCTTCCTACTTGAAAGGAACTGAGACAGAGCTCTTCATCATGAGTCAGGCACCAGCACTAGGAGTTTGCCAACTAAGCTTTTCTGTTCTTAATCAATGGCCGTGCAGTTTAGAGAGTGAAGAGCTATTTCTGCTGCTGGAGGAGGACTTGGGGAAGTGTTTATGAGAGCTGCTAACAGCTAATTTACAGGCTGTGGAGTTCTTATTTGAGATTGCTGTGCTATAACATCCCTTCAAGTGTCTTTCTCAGCCAGTACCAAATGCAACAGGCAAACAACCAGTGTCTGAGCTGCAGCTGAGCTCGGTGGAAGAGCCATGGGACAGGCTGTGCATCAGTGAAGGCCTCACACAGGCAATGAACAGTGCGCAAACTCCATCCTGACTTTTCTGCATGGTAGGGAGGATTTGCCCATCTACCTCATCCTTTATCTGCACATAGTTTCAGCACTCTCAGCAGGTCTGACACATGTCAGGAAACAGTTGGCTGAGAGCAATATTTACTCCTGAGAGCAGATATTATGGGCTCTTAAGTTCCACAAAAGCCCTCAGAATGTAGGGCCTTCTTTTTCCAGATAACTCAGAAATCCTCTTTCTGGAGTTGTTTATGGAGTCAGGGCAGGGAGGGATGAGAGGCAATTCCTTTCCTTCCCTACTTCTTGGCCTATTACCAGCAAGTTTCTTATCAGCACTGTGCCAAAAATGCAGCCCTGGCACTCCCAATCAGCACAAGAAGGCGACGAATTGGTACTGGTGACACTTACTGTCCTGGACAGGCTTTTATTGCTTTTATTCTATTACCAGTAATTGAAAGGTCAGCCAAATTTTTCTTAGACAATTAAGTGACATTTACAGATAAGAGATTGAGAGCAGCCAGAGATGCTTTTCCAAGTGCTGCTGCCCAGCTACTCTCATATGTCACTGTAGCCAGTGAGTAAAACACCAGGAAACATGTTTTTAAGGATCATGCCGTATGTGGCAAATTGAAAAAAGCAAATACTGAGATACTGGCCCAGGAATCTGAAGGTTTTATCTGGGCAGGTGTTTGTTCACATGGCCTAGTCAGACAAAGCACAATCGCCTTGAAGGCCAAAAGATCAATCTTAATTCAAGGTTATGTCTGGAAATGGAAAATCACAAATGAGAGTAGGATAGCCCATATAGGAAATATGAGGCAGAAGAAGGATACAGTAGGTTGCACAAGGTCGATGATGGAGAACCAAGCTGTCAAGGCTCGTGCACTGAATCCTTGGTTCATACCAAGGGGTGGGAGAGGTGTGTCATCCCTGCGTCAGGAGGCTGGGGCAGAGGGGAAGGTTGTGGTGCAAACTGCAAGGAATCCCTTCCACTTCCAGTGGCAGTGCAGTGCCAGGACCCTCCCCCTCACCACCAGGTGAACACCTCTGAGCCTGCCCATGGGACAAGGGTTCCCACAGTTCCACACACTGGAATTGGATCCCAGCATGTGATGGGCCATCATGTTGTTTTGTGCACTGGTAAAGAAAACATGTGAGTGACCTGTTGTTTACTTAGATATTTATACAATGAATCAGAGTGCAGGATCTGTTACAGCTCATTCCTGTGCATAAAAATTATCTAAATCCAGCACTCAG